GAAGTTTGTCTGTTTCCTGTACTCAACCGTTGTTGATTACACCAACACTAAAGTATGCATCCTTATCTGAACTTGGTGATTCATATGAGAGCTAAATTATTATCTCATTGAAAGGATTTCAGCGTTAAAGACATAATAATTTCTGATCTACTGGGATCAGCAGTTAAAACCAGTCACCCCAGTGGGCACTGACCTGTGAGTGTTAACAGAGCATATACTCATATTCAAAGAGAATTTTCCAGCTTCAGATATCTTCATTTATCAGTGGTCTTATCAACACAGTGCCAAATATAGAGGCCTCTGCTTCTCTTCACCAAGCACTGGTATTAAGAGGTCAAGTTAAGCTCTAAATTATGACAAAATTTGTTGAGCAACTCACTGATGAAGCAGACTATCCTTCCATGCTGGGAAAATTAAAGACAAAGTTTTCCATTTTTTGTGTCCTACATTTGAGTGAACAAAGAAGAGGAAGGATTTTGTTCCAGCTTGAAGAAATTAAACGAACTAACTAAACTGTTGACTCTGCGAATCAGCCCCAGAAATACTTAGAGAACAAACAAACGAGTGAGTATTACGTTTTTGAAGAAAAATGTTTCTGCCTGCTCGTTTAGTTTATTGATCAGTCTTCCTGTTTTATGGAGGCTGATTTCATGTCCTCATGTCGAATATGTCTACACACACTATCGCACAAGCTGTTTCACAGACATTGAAAGTAAACAGTTGAATAAAAGGAAAGGGGAAAAAAATGTGAGTTGAGGATTTGGGGTGCGGGTTTGGGAGGATTAAGGACCTGATTAAAAAGATACTTGGCTGTGTTTTCACTCAGGGACATGTGGTTTAGATAGACCATGATACCCTGAAATTGGTGCTGACGTCTGGAGACATTTCCCAATACATCCATCACGTTCTTCGAAATGACTGACGTCTCGATGTGTGAGGGATGAACGTTCTCCCGGGCTGCCAGATGTTGCAGGAGCTGCAAGGCTGGATCATAAACTGTTGGAAAACAGTTGGCCCCAGACCTCCTGGACCCTCAAAAGACCACTTTCTGCTTTTTGGTTGTACTGCAAGATTAATTAATCAGATTCGCTGTCGACTGGGGCTTCCATTAACACATGTTGTGATCCTTCGATGCTGAAGAGACTTGTGCCAGAATTTTATTCAAATACATTTTGTGTAAACTTTATTGTTCACACATGGTGCGTAAAAATGTAAAGAAGTTTCAATCTGTAGACTTCTGTGTGGGTGTTTTATCTATAAACCTTAAAGCAACATTCCTCTAAAAAGGAAAGCTTGTCCTAAATAAATTAAAAGGCTGCTGTAAAACAAAATGAGGTGATAAAATGCACAATGAGGCCAGTTTTGGTGATATAATAGTTTCTCCTTTTAAGGAGGTCTTGAATATATTCTTTCCTAACATGCTAAACTCACTTGTCACTTTATTAAGTACACCTTGTTAGTACCAGGTTAGGCCTCCTTTCTATTCTGCACAGATTCAACAAAGTGGTGGAAGCATGCCTCAGAGATTTTAGCCCATATTGACATGATAGCATCGCAGAGTTGCTTCAGATTTATCGGCTTAACCTCAATGACGCAAATCTTCCATTTCAAAACATCCTAAAGAAGCTTTATTGGACTGAGGTGTGGTGTCTGTGGTGTTCCTTTGAGTACAACAGACTCATTGTCATGTTAAAGAAACCCGTTTGACACGATTTGAGATTTGTGACATGGAGGTTTATCCTACTCGAAGCTGCGATCAGAAGATGGGTACACTGTGGTCATAAAAGGATGGACATGGTCTACAACAAAACTCAGGTAAGCCCAATGGTACCAACACCACAGCACTGGTACTACACGGCCGATAGAAAGAAAACATCCCCCCTACTATTACAGTAGCACCACCAGCATGATTAGTCAATTGGCTTCAAGGTTAGACATGCTGTGCATTCAGAACTGCTCTTCTGCACACCTTGGCAGTAACAAGGGGTTATTTAACTCATTCACTGCCATTGACGTCTATAGCCGTCAATGGCAGTGCATGAGTCAATGGGTTTAACTCATTCACTGCCAATGGCTGGCAGTGAATGAGTTAAGTTGCTGTCACCTTCCTTGGAGGGCTCAACCCGGGGTTGCTGTCATGGCCTACACATGCAGGGCCTTCGGGTAAAGGTGTGTCACCAGGGTGCAGGGGAGGCATCCCCCCCTGTCCCCTTCTGGCTGCCTGTGCCTCAATTTTATCTCACAATTTAGACATTCACATTACTCACACTCTCATTACACATACATATAGGATCTTGGTGGTGGGCACGCTACACGGAATCCAAATTACCATCAGGGTGTACACCTCACCCCTGGCGTCGTTGCCCACCTCTCAATTTTAAATACACGTAGACATTGAGGGCTATCAGGAGGGGCTATGCGCTTACATGCTGCTCTCTGGCAGGTAGCTCCATGCCCTCCTAGGTTTTAAATGCACCTTAGAACACACATGCATCAACACTACATATGAGCGGGCGGAGGGAGGTTTGGAGTCTTCTCTCACCCCCGTTCTCTGCGGCCTGCTGGAGTGGGGGGCTAGGAGGAGGAGTTTGCCGTCCGACTGGGGTCTGGAATGTGGGGCCTCCCTGCTGCTGCCGAGTCAGGGCAGTCTGCTTCTCCCCACCGCAGGGAAAAGGGTAACACCACCTGGGTCTGGGTGCAGTTTCCCGCTCCAGGGGCAAGGGTACCTAGACCTGGGGTATAGAGTACGCTTGGGGAGTGTGATTGTGTGTACAGCGTCTCTTTGTGTCTGTCTCCACGTTGGTTGAGTGTGGAGTAATTGCATATGAGAGCATGAGGGGGGGAATGGATGTTTGTGTCTGTGTGTGCCTGTATGTCTGTGTCTATATGTCAGGTTGGGTGTCAGACGCCACCTCTCTGGGGACATCTCAGGCCCTCCAAGGTTTGGAGGCCTATCTCCACCCCACCACTTCCCCTGCCAGTGGCGGACTCCCTCAGACATCGGTGCGTTGGTGGTTCTTTGTGTCCGGGGTGGGCGTCCAGGTACACACCGGCTCACTCCTTGGTGGCGCTTATCGGGGCCTGGAGCCTGGGGCTCGCTCGGGCCACTTCGGAGGTGGGGTGCCCCCGCCTCTCGGCCTGGGGCTCGGTCACTCAGGCACAGCTGGCTGCCGGCGGAGCTCACGGGCGCGTCACTGCAACCCCCCCTGGCTTCTGCTCCGCGGCTGCTGAGTGAGCCCTCATCTGGGACTCTCCTCAGCTCTTTCTGGGACAGTGGCGCGGCTGCCCCTCTGTTGGTCTTCCTTGGTCTCTTGTGTTCTGGGGGCCTCTGGATGTCTGGAGTTTTGATCTCCTCCATACCTGCTTCATGCCCTGGAGGACGGGGCTGTGGCCCCCCCCACACCCTCTAGCAGATCATTACATGAAGGAACCTTTTAAATACAAGCGCGTCTCATGCTCACAGGTGTACACACGGGTGATCACACACACAAACTACACCCTTTTTGGCTCTTACCTCAAAGCACACTGTGCGCTGTCGATCTTACGTGCTGCACAATAATTTTAATATTGTATTTACTGTATATTCCCATAGATCATCGTGATGTTGTTTATTATGTTGCTCTTTTTTTTCTTCTGCTTGTTTTCTCTTTTTTCTTTCTCAACAGGTGATCCAGGTGATTGATATATGTATTTTTTGTCTGCTTATTTTGTTTGTTTTTTGTTTTTTGCCCTTTATCCGTCCCTGTTTTTCATTCCCTCTTTCTTTCTCCCCTTTCTTTTCCCCAGTCAAGTCTGTCCCGTATTTAGCAAGTGAAAATAAAATAAGTAATAAAAGGTGAATCAAATAGACCAATACGGCAAGGCTGGGATGGTCCATTTGGTAAAGTAAATCCGTTGGGCATCTTTCTTCACCTTTAGACAATAATTCTGATGGCAAAAGAGCAAAACGGGACAGGCAAAAAAAAAAAAGAAAAAGTTGCTGTTACCTTTCTCTCCATTTGAAGCAGTCTAACCATTCTCCTCTGACCTCTGGTATCAGCAAGACATTTTTCCCAGGAGAACTGCTGCATGCTGGATATTTTTCTCTTGTTCAGATCATTTTCCGTAAACCACACACACAGTTGTGTGGGAAAATCCCAGCACATTAGCAATTTCTGAAATACTCAAACCAGCATGAGCAGCACCAACAACAATGCCAGACTCAAAATCACTTAAGTCTTCCGCATTCTGATGCTCAGTTTGAATTTTGGGTCATCTCGACCACATTTATATGCCTAAATACATGATTATTATATGCATTAGGAGCTGTACCTAATAAGGTGACCTGCTATCATATATAGTAATGCACTTTTCTGCATTTTCTGATACTTTTATTTCTATTACATTTGACTTTTAATACATATATAAAAGCTATTCTTCATTTGATTTTTATAGTTTTGTATTTACTAAATCGCTTTTAATCAAGTCTAGTTTTGAGTTTTTCACTTAAGGACTTGTAGTTAAAACCAAAAACTATCGCTATTTTTCCCAAGTGAATTTCAGCAGGTTTCCTTGAGTTGTGACTGGTAATTAAATACATCCTCATGGGATGACTGTGAGTAATGCGGACATCTCACTAAGAATGAGCTTTTCATTGGCAGCATGTACTGCTGTTTTAAGACAGACGTGAAGTATGTTAAGTTTGTGCTTTAATCCCATCTGGATTGAACGGTTGAGGCAACGCATTCACTTTTATCTTAATGATGTTCTCATCAAGCTAGTGAACACTGGATTTAGTGTACAGTAGAACAAATAGCTTCTTTTATAGCTTTGACAGATGGCTCATGTAGTCAATTATCAGCTGAAGCTGAGGGTAAAAAAATATGTTCGAGATTACTGGACCAAAGGCGAGTCGGCCTCCTTTTACTGGAATCTTCCGGAAAACACTAGAACAAAGCAAAAATGATTTAAAGCAGCTGGATGCATTTCTAATTAATTATTCACTTTTATGGAAACCAGAGTTTTTGTTTGCATTTGGACTTTATTTGCAATAGAAAAACACAGAGTACAATTAGAGTGCTGATACAAAAATTAGGAACTCTGTCGTAGATATATACGTATATATAAAAACAAAACAAACTCAGCTTAGTCTTAAAGTGTTTTTTTGCACACGTTCTTTTCTCACATACAGAATACATTTATTCACATTTCAAAGCTGCCAAAGAGTGGCTCATTCCTAGCAGGCGCTACACATCACAGAGAAGGGAACACTATCATAGACTGTTCATATAAATGACTTTTCGTTATACTGGATATAACTTTAAGAATACAGTTTGTTTCTGTATCAGAGAACCGTGTACATGATTTACATTCACCATCAGCAACAGGAAATGCCTAATCTACTGAAACACAATCCATCTCGTTAAAGATGATATACGATGCCTGACAGAGGCCTGAAGAGACCGCTGTTCTCTCTCTCCTTCTGTTTTTGTTCCTTTTTGGTGGCCTACAAAGACACAGGGTTTATGATGATTAATGTGCATTGTCACTGAGAGTGTATGTCATTGTGAGAGTATGTTTTGTATCTTTTTACCTATTGCGGATTTAGCCTCCCCATCTCCTTCTTGACCCATTCGTCATTTGGGTTGGCGCACACAGGTTTTGCCCTTCTCTTCATCGTAAACCTAAACATACACATGGATGTCATTATTTAGAGATGTCAAGTCGTGGACACACATGTGGATCAGTCACTTCCTCAGTAAACAGGACTTTTGCTAATTTATTATGGTGGAATTTAACGATGTGCGAACAGCAAATGGTCAGCAAGCGTCAAAGGTTAAGGACTTAAAAATTTATACTCACAAAATTGCTTTGATGTTGCAATCACCATCTGATTCCTGCTTGGTGTAACTGATGATGTTTGCCTTCCTTCTAATTTCTTTGGCGTAGCCGAGGCAGCAGTTCCCGTACGAGCCTGTAAAGTAAGTTAGAGATTTATAAACCATCGCACTTGGGGAAGTTGAGCAATCACTGTGTGTGTGTGTGTGTGTGTGTGTGTGTGTGTGTGTGTGTGTGTGTGTGTGTGTGTGTAGCTTTCGTTGCCCAAAGCCTATGAAAACAAACGTAACTTTCTCTTTTTAGTCCCGATTTAGTCCTGTGTTATTTTTTTGGACTATTTACTAGAACAAAAAAGGAAAATATAACGTCTAAGAATCCATACATCCACGATAAAGAATTTATATAACTGGGCCTTTTGAGGATTTTAACAGATCTGGACCTCGGCCAGCAGTGTCCTGGAGAATTTCCATGTTGCCCAATAAAAGTAGCACAGATCTATTTCGGGAACAGAAACAGAGTTTTTGGCATCAGCGAGTGCATGCCATCTAACTGCCTTTCACGGTCTTATCACCTTATCTTTACCATCGCTGAATGTATTTTCCGCTGGATGAAGCAGCCTTGTGTAAACGCCAAGCCAAAATGCTTATACTGTAATTTATATATATTTAATTTTTATTACATTTCAGTAAAGCTACTTTTTTGATGTAAAACGAACTGTCATATTTGGCAGAGGCTGCAACTGATTTCACAGCATGCACTAAGAAAAAAAAGAAAGAAAAAGCCAGCTTTTGTTAAGACGAGGAGTCCTTCCAGGATTTGTTAAATGCAGTGGCACATTGGGTCCAAGAACCCATCAAGGGGAAAACACGGGCATTCAGTGATTTCAGAAAAAACACAGCATTGAAAATTGGTTGAGAAAAGACTCCAAATGCTCTAAAACCTGACAGCGGTGGTCTTACATGAAAAACAGAGCTGCGCTAAAGTCTAAAAATACTGGAAATTCAATGACTGCTTTTATATTTTGGCTAAAAAAGTATTAGGATCCTTTTAGATTCTTACAGTACACAACTACTAAAAAGATCTACACATATAAGTGGATCAAAAGTATTGATTATTTAATGTCTGTATTCCTCTAATGTTACAGCTGCGTCCAAAAACGACAGTTTCTTAGACATAAACATCCATTATTTTATGAATTTGTTTTATCTTTAACTTTACTTATTCTGTTGCTGCTTAAACCTGAAGCAAGGTCGCCACATGAAGTCAAGATGACAGATTGCGCTTAAAGCGTTGTGATAAAGGGCTCGGAGCGGAAGCATTTATCTCGTTCACTAAAACGTTTTAAAGGAATGTGGCATGGGGAAATGCTTAAAACAAGACGGCACATAGTAATGCTCACTTCAAACCAACTATGGGTGCATATTTTTACTGATCCACTTATCACAGATAGTGCTTATCAGCTACTGTAAAAATCTGCATGGTTGCATTTCGGTGCATTCTGTAAACATTCCAAATTTAAACGAAAATGTTGCAGTTTGTGACGTGAAACCAGACCATTTTTGTTGCACTTACCTTGTGCGAGACTCAGGTACATGCAGGCGAAGAGCAAAATCAAGACAAGAGCGTGAAACTTCATGGCTGCTGTTGTTCTTCCTGCTGTTGCTGCTGTTCTTGATGTGTTGTTCACTGCACAAACACAAGGAGACAAAGAGCAAAGTCAAACTGAAAGTTGGAGCTAGACTCTATCACTCCCACTGCTTTGTAAATGTTGGGCAAACATTCAGTTGTTTTCCAAACCATATCCCTCCCCTCAAGCTCTTGTGAAAGAATACAGTTGTGTCTTTGACCCCTGTCAGGCTTCCAGCTGCTGACAGCTGTTCCTCTTCAAGCACTCTGAGTGATGTTTTGCAAAAAAGCGGGAGTTACAGCTAGAACCCCTACTCTTTTGTTATCGCTCAGACTGGCTTAACCTCAATACATGTGGAACACATAAAAACATTTCTATAAAATCCAGATTGTGAAAGATCAGCACAAGCTGCTTGTTTTATCAGCCTTCAGAGAAACGTACCTGATCACATCCAGTCTTTCAAAAGATGTCCTAGAAGGAAAAATGTTGGTCCATATAAGAGCAGCACTCTTATATTGCACATCATGCTGTGCCCTCCCCCAAATTATCTTGTGCCACACCCACTCAGAATTGTCAGCGCTCCAACTTCATCCCTGAATGCCACTTGTTTTGGAGTGGGCAAAGGGAATCTCACGCTCGTCAACACACATGTCAGTACCACCCAGATATTCTGCAATGACAGTTGGTGTTAAGCAACTGACTCACACCCCATGTACAACATTGCCTTTCATGATAATGCATCTCGCGAATCGCCAAACTTCCTCGCAGACAAGGTGTGCCTGACAAAAATGAAGATAAAATTGGAGTTTATCTATTTCAGTCTCACACTGGCTGCACCGCATGTTTAGGACGGAGTCATGCAGGGGGTCTTGCATGAAAATGATCGCCTTCAAAATTATATGTTTAGAGAACGAGACCAAGGAGAGAGGTTTGGCTTTGAGATTTACAGTTCTTCACACAAACACTGATCCAGTCTCACAGCACTAAAGCTTTCCAGATGTATGACAGGGGCCAAAGTTGGTTTACTGTGTGTTTTCTAATATCAGCTGCAACCATTTACTGTTTATACCACTCCTGAGAAGAGATTCTTTTTGGTGCTACACGAGAAGTTGTCATAAATTTTACCCATCCAGTCCAGATCCTTTATCTCATGCTGGGCTTTTCTGTCTAAAGCCATTTTACCACCTGTGTCCCTTTAAGCCACCGTACTCCTGATTGGCTGCTCCTTGAAAACAGACGATTTGAACAGCAGGTGTTGGGGCTCCTGTGCTCTCACTGTTTCATACATGACCATACTACAGAAATCTATTCTAAACAACAACACAGAGAGCCAAGATCAGAAAACCCTTCTAACTGGAGCTCCAGGCTCACAGTGATTACTTTTACACAAGTTGACTTGATTATATGAAACTTTGGCCAAGTATAACATAAGCATCCGCTACTAAACTAGTATATACATGCAAAAACAAAACAAAAGACGAAGAGCATGGCAGGTTCCCTTTGATACATTGAACTTTTCTGCTTTTTGTCAATCTTTATATTACTTTCCAGGAAGGCCTAGATCACACTGCCAGGGATAATATTCTAGTGGTAAATATTTGTGCTCTTGGTTTAAATGTTGGAGCCAAGAAGCAATCATGTAAATACCACCGAGTGGCTAAAACATGGGAGTTCCCAGCACAAACAAAGAAGATACGAACACACTGTCCATTTTTTGGTACACACTGTTGAAGAATGAGTCCCTCTTGCATCCTCTGAAACACGCTGATACAAACAAGATTCTCAATATGCATCTATCAGATGGCGAACGTCCTGCAGGTCTGTGGCTGCAACATGTGGCTACTTTATAAATTTTACTTCTGAGTCTATCCACTTTCTTAACTGCATATCCAAGTCAGGATTGCAGGGGCGCTGAAGCCTGTTACACCCTGGACAGGTCCTCAGTCCAGAGAGCCAGACAGTTATTCACACCTAACCTAAACCTAACAAACATGCCTTTGGACAGTGGGAGAAACCCGGGGGCTGCTTTCTTAGATACCATATATCTGTATTCAGCAAATATCTGATTGTGAATCAGTCACCTCCAAATATGCAGCTATAAAAGCCCTCGCGTTTCGTGGGCCCTGGAACCCTGCTCATGGGAATTTCCTGGCTTTCATCAAGAACATTTATGAGGTCAGGTGCAGATACCAGGTTAAAAAGGTCTGAAAACGCTTGGCTCGCAGTCAGAGTTAGATGATATTAGTGTCTACACTCTGGCCAGACTTCTACACCAAAACTGGAAAAAGGATTTAGCTTCATTGACCTCGCTTTGTGCTTGAGGGCTGTGTCATTTCCAACAGGAAACAGGGCTTTCTCCTGACTTCTTAAAAATAAGCAAACACACACTTTCTAATTTCCTGTATATCACAGTAAAGTAAATGCTTGTACTTTACTCGAGAGGCCAACACTCACATTTCTAAAAATTGCTGTGTTCTTTTCAAGGACTACGAATCTCAAGGGCCAAAGTGGAACTCAATGTTATTTTTTAGCCTTAGGCTTTTCCTTCTGTGACATGTCGGCATGTCTGTAACGAAGAAAAGGCTTACCAGAACAAACCATGCCACGAAAAACAGCCTCGGAGTGAAAACACGGGGGCAGAAGCGAGGATTTACAGAACTCTGGAGAAACTCCAGAGTTTTTTTACTCCATGCATTCAAAGTACTTCTTGAGTAAAGTGCAGATAAATGATCTGCAATGTGACAGAATATCATAACTAAAAGCACAAACTGCACAGTGGCCCTTCTCATTGCTGGGATTTTAGGAGTTTGACAGTGTAGGACTATGGTGCAGATTCTTATTTAATTAAGTTTTATTCTAACTGTTGCATATTTATACCATGTCTCACAGTATTGCATTTCCCATTCTTATGATTTTATCGCTGGTTGTCATAGTAAAAGACTGAAGTAAAAAAAGTATTAACAGGAAACCTACCAAATGTAGCAAATGTAGCACACTTTTCAAGTGTGGGGAAGAAGAACTGCATTTCAGCAGGAAGAGGTGTCCAGCAGAACCTCATCGAGGATTGGATAATGCAAACTACAGGAGAAAGCATACAGAAAGCAACGATGTGCAGATTTGGCACAAACGTATCACAGGTGAAAAGAGTTGAGAGGAGAAGAAATGCTCAGTGCATCATGGGAATTCCCTCCAGCAGCCCGAACCTAAAGCAGCATAACTAAGCTAAGCTTTTAGAACAACCTGATAATCGATGACAAGAGTCTGGACTAGATGGAACAAATGCATGGACGTTATTCAGCAGCGAATAAGGTGGAGCTAATTTGTTTTTACATTTTGTTTATACGGTTTCTAACTTAAATCTTAACATGCAAAGCAAAAGCAGTTCAGACTCATATAGTGCCAATCTTCATGTATGATAAAGACAGGACAACCTTCTTGTGTAATAATGCTCTCCTGTGCCAAGAAGTACAAGAAATGATACAGCCAATTGGGAACAATGTTATTATAGTTGTTACTTTCGTTAACTGGGGGAAAAAAAGACTTGTGGAAAAAAATAACTGAAGAGATAAAGTGTACTTTCAAAGCTACCAAAATGAAAACAGTCTTTGGCAGTTCGGTTAAAAGTGACAGCACAAACTGCTTGTTGAGGCAAATGTTTACTGAGGCTTGAACTGTCTACATGACAGTAAGTTGACTGTTTTCACAAAGTGTTGTGTAACACCTATTCTGCACTCTTGAGAACTCTTCCCCTGACAAAAACCCTTTATATTAAAACATGCTAAACAGATTGACAGTTAAGCTAAAGAAAAATAAACACAAAATGAGAAAACTGCTAGCTGGAAACGAAGCCTGGGTGATTTAATATTTGCTTCAAATGCTGACAAAACCGAGCCGCTGAACTGTTCGTGCATCACTATAGTTGATGCACGAACAGTCTTTTGAGGCAAGAACCAGACCGTTGCTTCCACCGTTGTGTCAGTCCTGGATTATGGTCATGTTATTTACATGTATTTGCATGCATCTTCAGAATGTTTACATTCTGTCTATCATGGAGCACGGAGATTTATTACAAACCTTAAAACTCTGACGCACCACTGTATGTTGTATGCTTAGGTCGATGGTTTGCTTTGTCATTTCATGGACTCTCTCAACCACTGCTGTGTTCTTATTTATAAAGCTATTCTTGCTAGATCGCATCCTACTTACAGAAAAATGTGGGAAGTTATTGTCTTAGGTCCCCAGACCTATACCTTCTGTCTGTTCCAAAGATTCACAATGAATTTAGAAAAAGCATTAGGAGAATTCGAATGCAACTGCAACTGTTTCCCTCTGGAAACAGCTCCAAAGTTAACAAAACACTTAAGGAACTGATCTCACTAAATGAATTCAAGGTGATTGTGAATGACTTTGACTGTAGAGGTTTTGTCTGAACGTGATTCACTTATTTCTTTGGCCCAATGCGATGATGTTTATTGATGTTTCAGAGTTCATAGCCACTGAGGTTCACAAACTTTGGTTGTTTTTGTGTTGTATTTGCTTATCGGCTGTATTTTAGTGTTGTTACTTTGCACATTTTTTTGTTGCCTGTGTGTGTGTGGGTCTGTATGTTCTAGGTTGTGCAACTCTGTTGGCTGTACTTCTGTCTTTCTTGGTCAGGGCGTTCTTGAGAAAGAGACTTTTAAATCTTTAAAGAATCATAGTTTCCTGGTTAAATAAAGGATAAATAAAACAAAAAACAAGCGAAAACAACAAATCTAAACTAAACTTAATTAAAAACTAATTAGAAAATACAAAATCATAGAAACTATTAACTAAAGCTGTTACCTATAAAAAGTCAAAAGTATTAGAAAATAAATTGGTATTAAATGCATGCAAGTTTAAATAAAGCATTAGCGACATTATACACAGTAGTGTCAGTTAATTAGGTACATCTCTTTAATGCACATATATAATCAGTCAATCAGATGGCAGCAAACCAGTACATTTAAGAATGTTGATGAGATGACCTGCTAAACTGAGCATGAGAATTGGGAACCAAGATGATTTAAGTGACTTTGGCATCGTTGTTTTATGAGTATTTATTAAACTAATGGGATTTTTCCACACAACCATCTCTAGGGTTTTACAGAGAATGATCCCCAAAATAGAAAATATCAAGTAAAGTTCTCTGGGGGAAGATGCTTTCTTGATGCAAGAGGTCAAAGGAGAATGACTAGACTGCTTTGGGCTGATGGGAAAGCAACTCAGATAACCACTCATTAAAACGAAGGTATGCAGAAGAGCATCTCTGAATGCACGGCATGTCAAACCTGGAAGCAGATAGGCAACATGAGCAGAAGATCACAACGGGTTCCACCACTGTCACCTAAGAACAAGAAACTGAGGCTACAGTTTGCACAGGCTCACCTGTGCATATTGGCACTCTTTTGTTGGTGCATTGTTTATACACCACAGCCTACC